CCAAACTCTTCTAAGTCCCAAGTGCTTCAGATGTGGAGGTGGAAGTGGGGTGGGGTTCAACCTGTTTTGTGTAGGAGAAACTCTTGCATTTAGCTCCATACTTCTTAGAGGGGATTTCCCTCTCCTCTTTCCATATACCAACTCGCCCTTTTCCCTGAAATGGAAGTGATTTGAAAGGGAAGTGATTTGATTGAGAAAATGATGTTCTTGCCTTCTGTCTCTGGGACCTGCAGAATCACTTTCTGCTTCCTCCCGGGGTTGAGTGCCCTGACCTGACCTCCTGCTCCATAGGAGGTGCCTACTCTGCTCAGGTGTTCTGCCCTCTCACCTGGTGGGTGTACGAAATTTCAGGGAAGAAATTCCAGGGGAAGCCCATGCAGTAGTCTCTACTCTGCTTTTCCACCAGTGCAGGGCATTGCATTTCGATTCCTAACCACCTTATGAATTGATTGACAATTCTTACCCAATGAGCAGAGGCACTTGGTGGGGTGTGGCCCCAGGGGACTGTCTTGACCTCCATGCTGTGCCTCCCTTTTCGGCCTCTAAATTTCTTTGAGTTGCACATTTGTCCTTTCATATGCATTTTTAGGTCAACATTATAGAACTGATGAAAGCTCCTTCTGGCCGTTTGATTGAGGTTGTATTAAATTTATGGAATAACTTGAGAACAACTGGTTTTCTAAAAACAGAGCTTTTCTTTTCAGAAGATTGACATATGTTTCTATTTACTCAGGGCCTTTATGCATTTCATAAAAGTTTAGTAGTTGTCTTCAGTAAGTTTTATATTTCTGTATAGCTGTTCCTAGGAATTTTATGATATTGATTATTTTGATAAAGAGGGTTACTCATGAGTTGTGGGTGTAGAAAAACCCTTTATTTTTGCTTATTGATTTCTATTCTGACCAACATGGTTTTGGCATTTTGTTTTTAGACTCATTTAATCTTTCATTAGTTCTAATAATTAGCTGTTCATCTTTGATTCTAGATAGTCAATGCAATTATCTTAAATAATAACAATGTGCTCCTGTCACCAACTACATGTTTTGGATTTAATTGCCTTGGCTAGGAATTCTACGGAATTGAAAAATAGCTGAGATGTCAGATAACCACCTCTTGTTCACATTTTTGTTGATATTTAGTTAATGTCTTATCATTATAATGCTTGCTATAACAGCAAGTTAGAAGAAATTTCCTCTATTGCTTGCTATTTTTTCAAAATTCAGCAATGGGTTTGTATTTTATTAAATGCTCTTTTCAGAATATAATCATATGTTTTCTTCCTCTGTTAACATAGATAATAACATTAATGGATTTCCTCAACCGAACTGATTTACACAGTTACTATAAGTGGCAATTAGTCCACACATTTAATTCTGTAGAGGCGTTGCTGTATTTTAATTACTATTGGTTTATCTAGGAATTTTGTTTCCATATTTGTAAGTGAGATTGGCTTACAGTTTTTCTTCTGTGGGTATAATCTCTCATTTAATTTGGTATCAGTGTTTGCTGATTAGTTATTTGCAATCTTTTTGTATTATCTGGATGTAGGATTTTTATAATTTAAAAATTGTTTGTTTTTTTAAAGGTTTAGTAGAAATCACTTATAAATTTTTTTGACTCTCATGCCTATAGATGTTTTTTGACTACCTAACTGACTCTCTTATTATTGTTCTCTTAAAATTTTCTGTTCATTTAAGCAATTTTGGTAATGTTTGTATTTTTAAAAGCTAATAATTGCACCTAGAATTTTTCAACTTGCCTATTACTCAAGTTCCCCCTTATCTGTAATTATGCCCCCCTTTTTAATACTAACACTACTTACTTGGACCATTTATTTTTTTCCTCCTTGATCAGCCTTGTCAAGAGATTGTCAATTTCACTGGTCAATTCAAGGAATCAGGTTTTTATTTTTTTATTTGTTCCTACTCCACTATTATTTATTTATCTGTTTTGATCATTTCTGCCTCATGCCTTTCTATTTTTGAAAAGTCTTCATAGACACTTATTTTTCTGATAATTCTTTTTCTTATAAGTTCTGATTTTAGATTGGAGATTACATATGGCATCATGTTTCATTTTTATCTGTCTCTCTCCCTTGGTTCCAGAATATGTACGAAAAAAAAAAAAAGAATAAAATAATAAGATGTTGGTCTTGGCAACTGAACCAATGTTCTTCCCTTTTCTAGCTAACAAACAAAACCAAAAAAACCCAAAAACATGAATTGCTAATTTTTACAGTTCCCACAATTATTTTAACACCACCCTATTAGGTTTGTCTGATCCTCTTCCTTTGGTTCACATTCTAATGTGTAGCATATTTCAAAAGAGCAGGATGATTTAGAACATTCTCATCTCAAGTGCCCAGAAATAGCTCTCAAGCATTATGGTTGGGATCTGAAATGTCCCCCAAAGGCTATAAACTAAAGGCTTGGTCACCAGCCTATGGGACTATTCGGAAATGGTAGAGGACCTTTAGGAGGTGAGGACTAGTGGATGTAAGTGATGTCACTGGGATTGTGACTTTAAGAGGACACCGGGACCCTGGGCTCCCCTCTTTTTCTGGTTTTGCTTTCTGGCCACCATGAGGTGATTGACTCTGCCATGAATTTTCTAACATGAAGTGCTTTCTCTTTACAGGCCTCAACAATGGAACTAAGCCAACATGGATTGAAACCTCTGAAAAGTTGAGCAAAATAAGTCTTTTCTAAGTTGTTTTTCTGATAATAAATAAGCAACAGAAAGCTCACTAACCCAAGCAGTAGCCAAACAAGAAATTGCTGAAGTTAAAACAAAATATTTTTTATTTTTCTTTAAACAAGTAGCAGTTAGTTACTTTCTCTAGCTGAGAGACAATACATGATGGGAAGAAGTGACATGTTCCCATCTCCTCAACTCAGAGGACAACGACTAAAAAACAGCATATTCGGTGCCATGATACCTACTGGGTTGGTCAGCTTTCTGTTACTGTGACAAAATACCTGAGATAATCAACTTGTAAAGAGGAAAGATTTATTTGGGGTCACAGTTTTGAGGTTTCAGTCCATGGTCAGTCAGCTCCTTTGCTTTGGGTCAAAGCTCCTCACTTCATGGCAGCAGGGAGGCAAAGAGAAAGATCGGAAGGGGCCAGGGTCCTAATATCTCTTTCAAGGGCATTCCCCCAATGACCTCCTAAGTTCCTTCCACTAGATCCTTCCTTCCAAAGGTCCCACCACTTACCAATAGCACACAATCTGTCAATCAAGCCTTTATCAGATCTTTGGGGAGGGTGTTTAAGATCCAAACCATAATGCATAGTGTGAAATCACTAATATGGGATACTAAACTCTTCTGGACAACTTCCCTTACACAGCACTTCCTTCCTTGAAATTCATTCCTTTTGCATTCACTACGTGGGTACCTCAATAGCTGCCACGTCCTCAATTCCAGTGGGTATCACCTTCTCACATTTTGTGGGTAGAGGAAAAGGCCAGAAAGAGGAGTGGGTAGAAAAAATTTAATTTCTCTTTGGAAATTTGAAGATTGATCACTGCATTTCATTCAGCTGTTTTAATTATGCAAGGCAGAAAATGTGCTCCCAGATTTGCCAAAAAAATAAAAAAATAAAAATGCTACAAAGTGCCAGTAGTACTTCTCTTTAGCCGGCAGAGGGAAAAGAGGATCAGACTTCGAACTGCTGCTTGTCTTCACATACAAGAACCAAAACCAAAAGCTGTTTTCCCTGGTTTCTTTAGAAAAATCGAATTTTTGACAATGGATGTTTACCAATGCTTTCAACATTAGATCAATACAATCTAATGAGTACTGCATGTGTCCAGTGTAAAGACTTTCAGATACACCCAAACTGGGACAGGGGTGAGGGAGAAGAAAGCCAGATACAGTATGAATCCTGGCTACCATCCACGTTTTAGTCAATCTGTAGATCAATTCAGAGTTTATGACTCCTAGAAATGATTTGTGCATTTTCTTATAACAGTATGCTGTCTATCAACGTTCTAGTCCCCTTCTGGTCATTTTAAAGTAAAATGCATTAGATTGTCTTTAACACTTTGGTCTCTGCAAGTTAGGAATAAAAATCAAAGAAAACCCATTCAGATCTTATGAAAAGCCTCCCCAATGAAACTATTTGTTTTAAAATTGCCCAGCTAAAGCACAGCCTCGCTTGATTACAATGGCCTCGGCTGAAGCAAAACACACACTGTGTTTAAATTCAGGTTCAGCATGAACCCTTTGGAAAGGACAGGGAGAACACTGTGGTGAGGAATGTAATTCACAATTCTGCCTCTTTATAAGCCCTGACGCTCCCATTAGGCTTAAATGGAATCACACGGTGAATTTTCCACAAGCCAAATTTACCAGGGAAAACCTTTTCGAAGATGTCTGCCTCCTTCTAGTAGAAGCACAATGTCCCATGCAATCAACAGAGAAAACAGACATCATATCCACTCCCCCCCCCTTTCATTTTCTGATCTAACTTGCTCCCCATGACCCCTAATGGATTATGATGCTTTCTACTTCACCTTGATAAAAAAAGGAGATTTCAGTGCCTTTCTCCTGGGGAATGAATTTTAAATTGTGTTGATGGCTGCACAACACTGTGAAGGCATATAGTAAAAACCACTGAATTGGACACTTTAAATGTGGGAACTCTATTTAGATGTGGGATGTGAACATTTTTCAGTGAAGCTGTTAAAAAAGATGTAGGCATTTCTCTCGTTTTAAGATCATAACCTGTGCAATGAATGTTTCATTTCTCCTGTTTTTCAACACAGATTGACTGTTCATCCATTTTCCAGTTTTTTAAAGATTCCTTGCAGTGTTCATGTGTTTGATTCTCTTTCTAGATTTTTCTTTTTCCTGCTTTATGTCTGACCAAAAGTCTTTTTGTTTGTTTATTTGTTTTATTACTCTCAGTGAATTGAGAAACCTATTAATGTGGTGCAGGAAATGTTCCCCCCCAAATGTGGTATTTTAGCATGCTGAGTATTTTTTCCCTAAGTTTAGGGCAGATTTCTAAGGTGCTGGAGCAAGGCTTGCGGGAGACACATCTCGTGCAATGGCATGAAAACCTATTTGTTGCACTTTTGAGCCATAAAAGGATCTACTGAGTGTTTTAAGTTTAAGGAAATGTCAGAAAGTAGCAAAAGCAAGAAGATCCCTCTAACCTTCTCTCCTCCCCTCTCACCTGAAGTTGGTCATGGAAACCAAAATTCCTCCGGGGTGCTATTAATGTCATTTATATTAGGCTATCTATGTTATAAGCCAAAAACTACATTGTTATTATTTTATATAATCGACATCTTTTAAAGACAAACAAAGGAGAGTAAGTACACATTTCTGGAGTTTGTTGCATTCACCTTCTTCTATGCCATTTATGATCTCTTCATTCCTATGGATTCAAACTACCACATGATTCCATTTTCTTCCTCCAATAAAATCTCTTCTTTGTAAACCACCTTCTCTGTGCTGTTGACAAGTAGATTAAATTTTGATATGAACTAAATAATACATGTTTTCATTCAATATCTTTTTAAAATCAGTATAGAGGCTGGGCACAGTGACACACACCTGTAATCCCAGCAGCTCCGGAGGCTGAGGCAGGAAGATCACAAGTTCAAAGCCAGCTTTAGTAAAAACAAGGTGCTAAGCAACTCAGTGAGACCCTTTCTCTAAATAAAATACAAAACAGGGTTGGGGGTGTGACTCAGTGGTTGAGTGCCCCTGAGTTCAATTCCCAATATCCCCTTCAAAAAAAAAAATCAGTGTAGAGAAGAGAGTTAAGTAATCAACTATACAAATTATGTACATAATTAACTTTGTTAGCACTCTTTATTTTTTCATGTGGGTTCAAATTATTTATTACCATTCCTTGTAAGCCAGGTCAAAAAACAGCTTTTTAAAATATATGCATCCGGGGATGTTTTAAATTTGCCTTCTTTTTTCAAGGATAATTTTGCTAGATTCTTGGTCAATAGGTTTTACTTTGGGCATGTTATATATATCATCCAGTCCTTAACGGCTTCCATTATTTTTAAAAAGAAAGGTCAACTTAATCTTCTTAAGCTCCCCTGTAAGTGATGAGTCATTTACTTCTTGCTATTTTTTTTTTCTGTCTTTCAAAATTTTGACTACACTGTGTCCAGCTCTGATTTCTTTCTATTTCTCTGTTTGGAGTTTATTGAGCTTCTTGAATGTGTAGATAAATCCTTTTCACACCAAATTGAGGAATTGTTCAGGCACTGTTTCCTGAAATATTTCCTGAATAAGAATATATATATATATATATATATATATATATATATATATATATATATATATTCCTATTCCTTTTTCTCTGTCCTCTTCTTCTGGTACTCCTATTATGCCTAAGTTGGTACACTGAAGGGTGTCCCACATTTCTCTGAGGCACAGATCATTATTCCATAGTCTTTTCTCCTCTCTTTCCAAAGTGATTACATAATCTCTACTGATCTGTCTTCGAATCCACTGCTGCTTTTTTTTTGTGCTAGTTCAAATCTGTTGAGTTGCTCTGGTCATTCTTTCATTCATGTTGTATTTTCCAAGGCCAGAATTTACATTTGGTACTTTTAAAATAAGTCTTAAAACTTATATATTTTTTTATTTTATGAGACATTTTAATTTTTTATGATCTCTTGTAGCTCATAGAGCATATTGATAATAATTGCTTCAAAGACTTTGTTGAGATAGCCATTTAGGCTCCCTCAAAAGCATTTTGTATTTTCTGCCTTTCTTCTGTTTTTCTGGGTCTGCCATGGGCTGAACTGTGTCACCCCACAATGCAGATGCTGAAAATCGAATCCTCAGAACCTCAGAATATGACTGTATTTGGATATAGGGCCATTAAAGAGGTAACTGAGGTAAAATGAAGTCATTAGCTTGGGCTATAATCCAGCATGACTTCTTCTAAGAAAAGATTAGGCACAGATGCACCAAACCATGTGAAGATTCCCCAGAAAGATGACCATCTACAAGTTAAGGAAAGAGGTCTTAGGAGAAACCAGCTCTGCTGACATCTTGGTCTTGGACTTTTAGCATTTGAAATTTTGAGAAAATAAATTCCTGTTGATGATGTCACACAGTCCATAGTTCCTTGTAATGGCATCCCTAGCAAACTATGACAGGGTCACATTTTCCTGTCTTTTGTATGGCTTATCATTATTTTGTTGAAAATGATACATTTTTATATAATAAATTGTAGCAACTCTGCTTACTGATTGCTCCTTCTCTACTCCAAGAGGTTTATTGGAAGTGTTCCTTTCTCAGTAATTTGTTTACATATTTAGTGACTTGAAGTGCATTTCTCCCACAGTATATAGCCTCTTGTTTGTGTCTTTTAGACTGCCTACCTAGAGATTTTTCCCTGACTCAGCATAAAACACTTACTAGTTATAGGTTTTGCTTAAACTCCTTACCTTTGGATGTATATATGGCTTGCAGGCTGCTATCTTGAGGTAGGGGTTCTTCTCGAATAAAGAAAAGGCTATGTGTCACACTTAGTGTGCATGCCAACTCTGCCATAAATCTATTGTGACTTTGTTGTGACTTGCTTATACATGACACTATCATGTTGCAACTCTATAACATGAGAATACTAAATCAAATGTGCATTGATTTATATAGGAGACAAAGAGCTTGCAAAGATATATAAGGGGATGCCTCTGTGTTTGGGACTTGGCCTTGGGATAATAGTCCGCTAATCCAGTGCTGACACAAAAATAAACACTGTTTCCTATTGCATGCCCCAGTCTCTCTCTGCATGAATCCTATAACAATCTCAGTTTAAATAGTTCATAGGTTTGCCTCCACATTTTGTCAGGGACTATGAGCTTGGAATTTCCTTCTCTTGTCACTTTTGAGAAGGTACAGTTTTAGGCATGTATATAGAATTTTCCAGTGGCAGAAGTAGTTATGATTTTTGGTAGGTCTGCCTTCCCAAGAGATACCTCTGGATCAGAGAAGCTCATGGTTCAGCCAGTTTTTGGTACTGGTGAAGCTTCTACCCTGTGTCAGCTGACTCTGTGTGGTTTGGGGAGGTTTGCAAGTCCGCCCATATTTTGCTCAAATTGCTTCTGGGTGAGTATAGCCTAGCACAACATAACCTTCCGACAACCAGGGTCATGTGTGATCCCAGGAGCGCTCTTCTAGGCTGTCTGTTCCCATTGTTCTCTTGGTTAAACTTCTGACTGATCTGCCTGTTTGTTTTTTTTTTTTTTTTTTGCTGCTTCCATCAGGGAGCTATGAGGGCCTTCTCAGTTGCTCTCCACCAAGATGTTCATTGTTTTTGACAATGCCCTTGGGCTTGGAATACTCCATGCTCTGTTCTAAATAAAGTCAGCTCCCTTGGGCAGGGCTGTGGAGTTCTTCATCCTTGAGACCTGCCTTTCTTCCTGGGCAGAAGAACCTCTATTCCAGTGCACAAGGGCTAGGGGCAGGTCAGGTGCTTGTTTTTCTTATAAGGATAGCCTAGTGCAGGTGTGCATGTGGCCTCCCTCTGCCTGGATTGCCACTTCTGGTGTCAAACCCCAGCTTCAGTGAGCTGAGGTGAGGGTGATCAGTGCCCTGGTATTCTTGACTTTCTGCCTGTGGTAGAGATTCTGTCCCATAAATGGGGTTAGTTGGAGGAAAGGAGTCTTGGACCTCTTTGTCAACCTGCCTGGAATGAAGGTGCTGCAGAATGGGGCTGAAAGATATAAGGGAGCATTGCCAATCCCTCCTTTCCTCCCAGTGGGGCACTGTGGCCCCAACTTGGGAACCAGGGGAAGACAGGAAGAGCTCCAGTTCTTGGAAGCCTCTGTCTGGAAGAGTGTGCCTTAGCTGGTTTCCCCATGTGTGGGGCTGAAGTAGAAGGCACAGCTCACGTGCTACATATTATTGTCTTAATGAGATTTAAGAACTGAGATTCAAGAACTGAATGAGTATTTATCTATTTGCTCTATATCTTTAGGACAATTTCCTTTTTTTTTAAGAGGGGAGAGAGAGAGAGAGAGAGAGAGAATTTTAATATTTTTATTTTTTAGTTTTCGGCGGACACAACATTCTTTGTTTGTATGTGGTGCTGAGGATCGAACCTGGGCCGCACGCATGACAGGGGAGCCACATCCCCAGCCCATAGGACAATTTCCTTTAAATGATGATTGATTTTTTTGTTTTCTCCATGTAAGTGGATGTTTGCTGGGGAGAGAATTTGAGGTGATCCTTTCTCTTCCTCTGGAGTCATCTTTCCCTTGAATGATAAATAATGAAAATAATACAAATAATAAATTATTAAAATAATACAAATAATGTATTATTTGTATTATTACAAAAACAAATAAACCTTCCCTTTGGGTATATATTATTTCATGACAAAGATGACATCTTCTATTACTTTTATATATGTTTTATATACTAATAAATCTATCTTAGTATTTTATAGATTAGAACCACCAATATTTTGTATAGGGTAGGGCAGAGTGGAGAACAATACCCTCTCACTTGGGTTTGCATTTGAATAGTGCTTCATTGTTTCCAGTCTATTGAAATTATAATAGCACCTTGTCCACACTAGAAAGTGGCTGGAATGTTCTCAATAATATGGAAATACAGTGAGGCTAATAAGGATGGTCCTGACAGAGCTGGGCTATTGTCCAGGGCTCCAGACTTCCAACTCTCACATTTTTTTTTTAAATAAGAAAAAGTACTACTAGGGCTGGGTAGATATAGCTCATCAGTAGAGGGGCAGATGTGAGGACTTAGGTTGCATCCTCAGTACCTCCCCCCCCCAAAAAAAAAGAACACTTAAAAAAAATTATGTTCTGTGTTGAATAGTGGCATATCTACCCAAAAAGATTTGGGTAGATCTTTATTAACCTAGAAATTTTCTCTTTGCATATTTTAATTCAGTCACAATGTGATGAAACTTGTGCTTTTGATAAGATTTCCTATGAAATGAGACATCATCTGGTTATAGAAATATTCTCAGTGGTTGAATGACTTGACATACGCACCTATTCTTTATTTGGTGCAAAGACTGAATTTTAAGTATCTCTTTGAGTTGAAAAAACAAAAGCCATTGAACATGAAACAAAACAAAACAGAAAT